AAACATGAAGGAATATTAGCAAAAATGCATCCCTAGTGATTGTTATGACCCAAGGGCAATTTTGGAACATGGAATGGAATTGAGAATTCCATAGTTAGATTGGACATTTTCAATGAGATTAATGGGGTTTTTATGTGATTGACAACATCTATTTGAGTGTTCAATAAGTTGTGAATAAGCCTTGTGAGCTTTGGAATGTTCAAGTGAAAAATGGACTAGTTTACCTTTCTTTTAAATACTTTGGGATCATCATGATCTAAAGGTTTCAATGAACACTTAATGGATTAAGTGGAGTGTTTTAAGATGATAAAACACCTCCTAAACATGTGTGAGAACCTAAATAAATGGTACAAAGTGAATGGGAAAAGGGTCTTCAAGAACTATTGCAAATAGACTCGGACATGACAACACGGCCCATGTAAATGCAAGCTTTAATTTACACGGTCCGCGTAAATCCCTGATTTGGAGATTTTCTTGTTTCCTTCATAACTTTTGCAAATAGACTCGGATTTACGTACGGTTTTCGTCTACGTTCATAGTTTTTCATGAGGAATAGTATGAAGCAATAAAATTTAGGATTTGAACCTTTGAGGGGTATTTTGGTCATTTTAATGACTTATGTCTATATATAGTGTAGGTAGTGTTCGAAGAGGGTTGATATATGGAAAGGAACTAGAAGAGCACTAGCTAACCTATATGTGATTGAGGTGAGTACGTGTTGGCATTTTTCCCACTTTGGGGTACATGAAAAAATGATTTTATGATAATAAAATTCAATGCTTTGATATATGAAATGTTTTGAAACGAAAGCTTTAAACGTTTTTGTAAAGGGTATTTTGAAAGGGTGCCTTAAAGGCAATAATCTTTTTGAAATAAAATAACATTTTGGAAGATCGAATGTTTTGAATATATGTTTGAAATGCTTTTAAAATATAGATGAGTTACTTTTGAAATGATTTTATGATACTTATGTATGAAATGTGTAAAGCATGGAAAGTAATGAAAAGAAATGTGAAGTAATGAAAATGAATGGAAAGTAATGAAAAGAACTTGAAAGTAATGAAATAAAAACTGCTCGGGCCATGATACCTCGTAAAAGGCACTAGAGAAATCTATCGGGGTGACGTCTCCCCTTCGCGAGATAGATGTCCTAATGGGAATGATGTTTTGGTGGATTAATTTGTTCCTTCCACCTTGTTCTAGACTTGAAAGTGGTTCTTTTATTGGACGTAGACCCTAAGTATAAAAATGGCAACGGTTTAATACTAAAATTAGCCCTTAATGATAAAAGAAAATGAAATATGGAAATATAGATTTTGAAATGAAATGAAATGATATTTACGACATGTATGAAATGAGTTTTCCCTTGAAAATGCTTGAAAATGTTTTGTGGTCTAAAACTATGTTTTGCAAAGATGAAACGTTTTTGATGAAAAAATGATAATGTTTTGGGTCTCAAACCCACGTAGCTAATGAGACATTATTGTCTTACGTATCTCTTTTTAATGTCATGTATCTCAGGTTATACTTAAGGAGAGATAATGATAGATGGAAGTTAGAAGTCAAGTGATAGACAATGGAGTGAAACTAGTTAAGTTTCTTATTAATTGTATTGATTTAATTCTTATTTGTTTGCTATGGTTGTATTGATGATTAATGGTAACACCCGCTATTTTAAATTTGTAAATGTTTTTTTTTTGGGACCGGCTTTTGTTAAATGTGGATTAGCACCCGAATGTTTTTAAAAACATAACATATTAAAATTTTAATTTTTTTTTTGGGTGTTACACTTTTGGAGAAGGCAAGTCAAAACTGTTAATTCCAATGAAAGAAAAATAACAAATGATTTTCATGATTTTATTTGAATTGTTGAGTGATTTGAGTACTATTGATTTAATAGTATGTTTACGTACTATTCGTTTTTGGGTTAGAACTTTGATCATTTGAATATATATTGGGATTTATGAAATGTTAAATTTCATCTGTTTGTGTTTTGGGTTTAAACTCATATGCATTTATAATTTTAATCATTTTTTTACGCTATTCTGTTTGAATGTGAATTTTTTAAAACTGTTACACTGTTATTCATTACAACTTCAATATAAATATTAGAAAACTACCACTTTTTATGAAATTGTAAACTTTTATAAATCTTGTAACCGTTCTAAAACAATTATTTATAATTCCTTGTGAATTTATTGATAAATTATTAGTAAACATTTACCATTGAAATATTATTATTTGTTAGATATTAATGACACCTATAATTTTACAGATTTATATAATAATACATATTACAATGATGCTAGAGAGAGATGATAACTAAGACATTTGCATTTGCAAAATAGAAGATTGAATTTTATGTTTAAAAGAGAAACTTTATTTCATCATCTAAAACAATAAAGACATTTGATTGTGTTTCACTTATACATTTTCCACCCTTAGATCAAATTGTTTACATCATCTTGACCAATGTTTGGTCAAACAGACTGTCCATCAATGTTTCTGCTTAAGCCTTCACCAATTTCCTCTATCCCTACAATAAAATTCAAATCCTCCGCAAATTTAAAGTCGTAATTTATGCATTGCACATCCTATATGTTTGCAAGTCAACATGATATATATTCTTAATTATTCTATTTCTTTCTCAATATACGTCGATGGTACCAAAATTCATTAAGGGCAAAAAGTTCACCTTGTTTTAAATTTTATTAATATAGTAAATACTTCAAGTTTTGAAAGTAATAATCGGTCTTATACATGTTAAATTATTCCAACTATCCAACTCAATAATTATATGTATTTATTCTCAACCTTACCCTTTTTATAATGTTATTGAGTATATTTACTATAATCAAGTTTAAATTGCAGATAATTTTACTTGAAAGTGATGAACATTAGTTGATGTCTGTATTGAAGCTTGAGGATGATGCAAAACTCTAAATCCCTTTTGGTAATATCCTACATACTTAATAATTGATTATTTGGATAAAAAGTATTTTCCTTTTATAACAATTTTTTTGAATTAAGCATATTTTTATGATTATAAATTTGTTTTCTCTACTCACTTGTGCTTGTCATCTTGAAGATGAAAAAACATTAACCATGGTTATATTGAAAAGTACCAAAAAGATATTATTCGTCATACCTTTCTGACATGATCTTCAAATGTTATTTGCTTCATTCTTTGTTTTTTTTATTTATATAGTTTTTATGTATTTGATTTGTTTCATCAAGAAACTCACTTTTCCATTAATTTTGATAACAAATTTGTTGAATTAACCATACTTTTATGATTATAAATTTGTTCATTTTCTATTGTTAAACCAAGTGTAAATGAATTTGAACAATTGTTAAATTTCATATTCTATAATGTAATTTATGTACTAATTAATCAAATAATAGTACATATCCAAGTGGTCAAGTACCTCCTAGGACAATAAGCAAACATGTAAATTATAAGCAATTTCACAATAATTTATTTTTTTACTGACTTTAAATGAACAAATACTTTTTTCACTTACTTTAGGTTCATGATTACTCATATAGGGTTGTAATAAAATGAAATTTTGATAAATTGGAAAAATTGTTCAGCGAAACCTTAACATTTTGAAATTTGTTGGAAATTTGGCTATATGTCAATTTAGGCTTCTTTTATGTTGTAATGTTTTTGATTTGGCTATGTAGGCTTCATTTGAAGTTCCATTTATCTACAAGAATGTTAATGTTAACATCTAAGTGGAAACAACCACTACTAGTAAGCATTCTAAATGGATTTTCACTTATATTAATCAAAACTGTTACTTTAAATAGTGCGTTCTCATAGATGTTACATTGGTTGTCACTATAAAGACCTTTTAGTGGTCTATAGAAGAATCCTAGAAGCACTATGAAGAATTTTGTTGCGTTTTCAGTGAAGGATCACTCTATCAACATTCGTTCTCTATAGTTATTTCTCTTATTTTCGATATAGATGCGTGCCACAATAACAAGGCAGAAAGAGGTATTAGTGATCATTAAAGATGAAAAGGTAAGATATAATTTAAGAATATTATATAAAGTGTAAATTGTAGATTTGTGATATTTCTTTCTATGAAAAATATGTTGTTTGATTGCTAGGTTACATATCTGGTTTTTTTTTTTTTTTTTTTTTTGTAATTTGATTTTGACAAGTTTGATCTAAATTTGATAATTGAACCAGATAGGAAAGATATGTGCTAATGATTTTGAATTTGTATTGCTCTCTAAAAACCAACTATAGCCTTACAGATCGTTCGCTCATATCTTATTAGGTCTTAGCATTTCCCCAAATTTAGCTACAATAAGTCATGAATGCACTTCTTGAATCAATCCTCCAAACTGAATTTCATTTGTTAGTTGGATGTACTTACCAAAATGCAAGATTTGTGAAAGTTTGTTATTATTTATTAGTGTTAACCTTTTAGCAAATTATGAAACTAATATTATATTTTCGTTATCACATGCTTTTTTTTTGTAATAATTTCTTTGATCGGAATATGTAGATTTGATTGGGTTTAGCCTGAAAAATCATATTTTAATTCTTATAAGAAAAAAAAAACTTTAGAAATTGACAAAATTACAATGTATGAATTTGATGAGTATAGTTATGGCAATGCACTTTAATTGTAATGTTTATCGAATTTTTTTGCAGAATTTAACGTTGCTAGTACATATAACAATTTATTGTTGTTTTTCGGTTTACAGAGCTAATATGAAAAGAGTCATATGAGCTTCCATTAGGGTTGATACACCGAACAAAATCAATTCATAAAGCTACTACACAACATGTTTTAATTAACGAATCGCATCATGTTGTGATAAAACAAAAAACGGATGGATCATTTATGTTAAAATTACTACATTAAAAAACCAAATTGATCTAATATAAATATTAAATGTTTTTATTTAATAAGTTTGTTTAAAAACTCTAAAAATAAATTTAATTAATATTTTTTATTAAAATTTCACTTAAGACAATACCGCAATCTAAAAATGATATTTATTTTAACACGGGGTGATAATCTAATTTATATATAAAAGAAAAATCATCTATCATTTAGGCACACGAAAATATATAGGGATGGGATTATGAGGATCTGGTGTAGCATCCCACACCGTAAAAGCACTTGCAGAGTTCATCCATCGATCGGTCATCTCAGGGTAGTGTCTGTCCAACACATCTTTTAAACTCTCTGTTGTATTCACCCATTCCAACCCCTTTTTTGTGTAAACATCTTCATTGAAGTCACTCGTGAAAAATCTATCTGCCTCCAGTCTCCTGCAAAACCATGCAATTCATCAGAATATATATCCGTTCAGTTTGCTTATTTTGATCATCAGCGTCAGTTTTTTCTTATGGTGTTAAGTCGTTGTACCTTGATGCCATGATGATAAATATTACAAAAGCTGTCTCGCTAATGGCGAACCCTTTAATCTTTTTCTCAGCTGCCATTCCTACCAACATATCGAGCTGCTCCACGTCATCATTGTACACTTCGCGCAATGTATTGATAGCTTCTTTATCATCCGTCAGATCTTCCCATTTGGAAATGGGGATCAAAAAGAGTGATCTACGAAACTCATTATATCTTGCTACATTCCTCTCCCTGTCCCTGTAAACTACATCACCATGCATGATCAATGTGTTTTGATCAATAAGTAGATACACAGAATAATTATTCTGAATTTTAGTGAGGAAATTAAGAAGATATATATTTACTCTCAAGGGATGGTAAGTCGACATGATCTGGGCGATCTGTGCCATCAACGTTTTGTGGCACCACGTCCCTCAGCCACGTCGGATAATTCCATAGCTCAAGAGCTCCACATGCTTGATGTCCCATTGATACCATCTGTGTCGTAAATCCAATTTCTGATAATTCCTTCTCCCCTCTCCTTCCAAGCAAATTTATCATGTCAATCCTGTAAATAAATGTTGATCAAAGTTTCCATCAATATTATTTGCTACCAAATGACAAATTAACAAGTAAGTTATTTGAAGCTGTAACTACTGAAGATAAATTAATTTGGCTCACTTTTTGGTTAATTTTGGAGATTTGTTGGGGCCTGGTGTTGAATTAACATCCCTAATGAAGAGTTGATCAGGTAAGAGAGAATGCATTCTGTAAACACTCACGAACTCTTCAGTTAGTGAGTAGGGTATTCCATGGTTATTGGGTTTCTTTAATCCTACAAGACCTCCCAATATGGCTCCTCCAACGTGTCCAAATGTATCCTTGAATCTTTTCCCCAGTAGCCCATACCTGAATAAATCAATTCAAAAAAATAATCAAATATATTAGTTAACTAATTAATTCCAACTATTTCGATCAATTAATTACCAGTTTGCTCTCATTGCTACATGAAGCATGTCAGTCTTAAGAAGCTCGACAGTCCAGTCAATGGTGTGGATCTTGGCAATGACAGCAGAAGTTACTAGCCTTGCATGACGATATAAATCTTCATCCTCCAAATCTTGATATTCTTTCTAATATATTATATACATAATTAATTTGTAAATGAGAATTACTAGTGAATTTAAAGTTAATTACGTGAATGGGTTTTGTGTGTATATATATGTACGCATGCACCTTCAACGCATCACAAATGGCATTGTGCTCGAGGATGAAGAGAGCTTGCAAGGTTGATAAACCGATCCAACCATTACGGACATCGCCTGATAATGGAACTCCGTCATTGTCATGTTGAAGGAGGCCATCTTTTCCGATCTTGAGCTTTCCTTCTTTGAATGTTCTCAACTGATTCAATTTACTTGAGTTGCTTCCGTATATTGCACTCCCGTCCCTAAAAGAATTGGTTTCTTAACTTCATATTATTCATTCAGCAACTGTTTTTAGTCGCAAATAGTTCTAAAAATAGATTGATTGTTCATACCACCAAGAAGTTCTGATGTTAAGTTGACCTTTCTTGATGTCATAAAATCCCGTGTCAACTTCTTTGGTCTTATAAAACTTGAAGGATTTGAGAGGACATTGGTTGGCTACTTCTGGAGGTGCCTTTAGCTCAATCTGATCGATGCAATTCCATGATTTTTGGGTTAGTTTTTCTTGCATCATGTCTTGTTTAAAATGATATATACGCATACATATATAAACTAAACCTGTCGTGTTGCCTCAAGATGATCAATCCAATCGTGAATCATGAACTGAATCCACGAAGCAGCGATCATGTTAAATTGTTTACCGGTGTCTATGATTTGTCTACGTGCGAGAAGTTTTGTTGCCACCACCATTGGATCCGGTTTTAGCAGCTGCACACAAAACTTGGTATATTAATTAATTAATATCTTTTCCTTGCAGTAATATTGTTTATAGTTCTTGAATATCATTCTTAATTAGTTTAATATCTGTTATATAACAATGAATGATAAAAAAGTCAACTGATATATAGAACAATGAACAGTTAATCGATTGTATTTGTTCATTTTATATGCATAAGAACATTAGACTCTTTGTGATTCTTAGTAAGGATTCACAAAAAGTTAAAAATCACATGTAAACTTGTTCCGTTATTCGATTTCTGAAAACCGTAATGTGTTTGATTTTTCTGGAACTAGCTAGATAATTATACTATATATAAATGTTGATCAACAAAGAAATAATTACCAGTTATATCTTAATTTCTAAGATAAGGATATGAGTAACCAACAATTATCATTAAAAAACTTACTGCGTGAAGATTTTGATATTATAATTTTGTTATTTTGGCTATGGGAAAAGAAATCCGTTATACAAATACAGTTTTTATTTTAATAATATGCTTGGAAAATTAAGTGAGTAATTAATAACCACGCAGACAAACTAGCTGAAAATTAGAATTGGAACTGTAACTTTTATTTTTGTATAGGTGTTCCTTAAAAATAGTTAGAAGCTATTTACATGTAAAATTATGATTTTTTTTTTAAAAAACACATCGATGATTTATAAATGTGATTATGTCTACAATTATGCAGATGGAATTTTTGATCCGGGTCTCGATTTAATATTTGAATTTATATAATTTCAATAAGTAAAATTACTATAATTATATTTCCTTTGGTTTGAAACGGAGAAGATTTAAAACAAAATACTACATAAATACTAATAAACTATGTACAACTTGTTTACAATATATTTAATGGAGGAAAGCACCTAATCAAATCTTTGAAAGACATTTCTTAATCTATTTTTGACAATTATCACCCTAGATTTTAACACGACTACCAAAACTTAATTTATAATATCTTAGTTAAATGTCCACAACAATTTTAAATTCAGAAAATATATATCATGCCTAATTTGAAAAACGAATCAAAATGTTGGTTTTCTTTTCTGGAGAGATTAATATTATATACAGTAGCAACAGTACTAGTTGGTACTCGTGTTACAATACATTTATTATTAATATATTACGTACATAATACATTATGAAATCAAATCCAAATGACGAAATCTAAGTTTGATCAAGAAAACATAACGCTTCTTTATGTTAATTAATTATAATAGACCTAATTGTTCTTAGTTTATCTTTGCCCCAAAAAGGTTGATTTAATTTGGACGTAAGGAGAAGTATATGCATGGTTCAAAATTACGAATTATTAATTATTATATAGTGGTAACACCTAGCTATAACGATCAAAATTTTGACTTAATATTTAGTCAAGTACATTTATCATAACACATCCATAAAAACTACTGTTTTTTAGAAGACCACGAAAATCAAAACTGAAGTGGTAATACTTGTATACTTTATATATAAAAAATGAGGTTTCAACCAAGTTTTTACAAGACAAAGTGTAAGGAGTTTTTTAACAGGATCAATCAAATTAAAAACCTTTTGGACTATTGTAACCAAATCTTGCAAATTGAAACAAGCTATATTGAAGGGATCAATTATAAACAAATATAGAAAAACATAATTAATCGGGCATTAATAAGGATTACTTGTTATTCATATCATTTCAATATGAAAGGTTCCGATCCAACCACCCACCTACTCTCTGGCACTTGTATAATCACATCCATGTTATTTAGAGTTGAAATCTTGAACCAAATATTAAACCCAACTAAATTAAAATTAATTAGTTGAGTTTGCTAGAGAAATATATATATATATATATATATATATATATATATATATATATATATATATATATATATATATATATATATATATATATATCATAACTAAGTTAAATGATGATGGGTAAATAAGTTAAACCATCGACCAAAAAAAGTTCAAGTTCAAAAGCATATATAACTTGTTCATATTTAGGCTATGTTTAGCGTACTAGTTGAAAAACTAGTTGTTAGCTGAAAAGCTAGTTGTTAAATAAAAAGCTAGCTGATAGCTGAAAAGCTAGTTGATAAAAAATAACGTTTGGTAAAAGTAACTGAAAAGTTAGCTGAAATATATAAAATTACATAAAAGGACATGTAAGAGTATGTGTTTCTATAATTAATTAAGTGGTGTATTTGGAAATTTTTTAAAAAGCTCCTAAAAAACTAATTTAAGTAGTTTTTCAAAAAGCTAGCTTATAAGTTACTTTTTGGCTTACCAAACAGACAACATAAAAAAACTTGAAAAATAAATTAGCTTATCAGCTAGCTGTGGCGCACCAAACACAGCTTTAATTTAAATAAATAAATAAATAATAAAAAATACTAAACCCTATTTTCGTATAACCTTTTGTTTCAAATGACCAATAAAATCATATCTAAAAGTTTAAAAGTTTTTGTTTCTTTCATAAAATCAGGAAAAAGGATGAAACTGTACATTAATTCGTTAAATCCTAATTAATTAGTGAACCTATCTCGGCAATAAATCTTGACAATATCTAACGGGACATGTGCTATTTGAGTTCAGAACTCTATTACTAACATACGGATACGCTATAAGTCTATAATGCAACATGAAATAAAAAATAAAAAATAAAATAAAGTCAATGCATTTTTATATATACCTTATCTTTCTGATCAACTGGGGGCATGTTCCGGCCAAAGAAAGTCCCCTCACTGCCGGCGTCTTCATTGAAAGGATCATTAAACTTCCCGTCAGCTGTCCTGAACGGAATGTCGCCAGCATTGAACCTTACCCCCACCGGAGTTTTCCCAACGTTCAGCAAATTGTACTCGTCATGAAGATGCCTCCGTATGGCAAGGTATATCAGCCCCAGGAAAACAGGCAAACGGTGCCACTGAATCCCTATCTTATCAACACCATGTATAATCTGCAAAATAATGAAACCCTAGAATTAATTAGTGCACCATTTTTTTGACTTAGTTAAGAGTGAAAGCTACATGCATGCATGGATCGAAATATAAGCACCAGGAAAAGAAGCCTATCGATGAGTGTCATCCTTTGATAGATATCGTGGAAGTCGCCATGAATAAAGTGTTTGATGGGTGAAAGAAGGAGAGATTTCGCAGAAGATAAGATCATTAGAATCATGGTGGGTTTCATCTTGAGGGACAGATCGACTGAAATGTTTTGTGTGAGATTTACAACACCAAGATTGCCAATTTATACACTAATTGTCAGGAGGTTGGAACGTGAGTCACGTCTGTACTGGGTCTCCTCATAAGCATTCAATAGAAATTACAAATGAAGAAAAATAAACATACAGTGAATTGTCAGAGGAAATTAAGAGGCGTCCAAAACAACAAGCTAATTAAGGACTTTTCAAATGGAAACTACTAAATGGTTAACTTACCACTATATCAATTATGTCATGATTTAATTGAAAATGTGTTTAATCGGTGCCAATTGTTCAAAAGGAACGAGTCAGATTGGATAAGGTGCCGAATCAAAAAAAAAAAAAAAAAAAAAGAAATATATAAGGAAATGAAATCTATGTTAAACACGTCTTTTGATCGATAGGTTTGAAATTCAGTTGATTAACCGAACCCATTCTCCACGGTTTCTTTTTTATCTTTGGAGTTATATATATATATATATATATATATATATATATATATATATATATATATATATATATATATATATATATATATATATATGAGAAAAAGTGAATATACCCTTAAGGGTATATAAGCTTACGTACCCAAACCCACCATACTACATCGTTTTCTATCATATATAGACATTGTAATTGTCCAATGTTCTTATAATTCAACTTCTAACTTGAATTACTTCAAAAAAAATTTATAAATTTCATATTTATCTTTCTCTTACATAATTATCATTTTCAAGAATAATATATATAGCCTACTAAATGTTCGACAAAAAGATGTGATCTAAGAGGAAGATGATAGTGAAAATTTAAAAATATTGAATATAAATCAAGCTAAGGATTGAAGTTGAACAATATTATAATGAATATATCAAACAAAACGACGTATTATTATGAGTTTGGGTACCTAAGCTTATATACCCTTAAGGGTATATTCACTTTTCCCTATATATATATATATATATATATATATATATATATATATATATATATATATATATATATATATATATATATATATAATATATATATATATATATATATATATATATATATATATATATATATATATAGGTTCATGTGAGACGGCCTAATTTTGTGAGAGCGTGAGACACATTTTTTTATTTTTTTTAGTTAATTCAAGTTCCGAAAATAATATTTAAAAAAAGAATTTTTTGATTTTTCCATTTATTTTGCATTTTAAAATTATTTTTAGAATATGTACAGTGTAATATTCTATTTAGAATATTTCACGTATTTTTCAAAAAAAAATAGGATCTTTTTTTTAGTTAATTCAAGTTCCGAAAATAATATTTAAAAAAAGAATTTTTAGATTTTTCCATTTATTTTGCATTTTAAAATTATTTTTTAGAATATGTCAGTGTAATATTCTATTTAGAATATTTCATGTATTTTTTTTTAAAAAAAATGAGATTTTTTTTTAGTTTTTTTTTTTTTTAGTTAATTCAAGTTCCGAAAATAATATTTAAAAAAAGAATTTTTGGATTTTTCCATTTATTTTGCATTTTAAAATTATTTTTAGATTTGGTCTCACGGTCTCACAAAATTAAAATGGTGTCAAATGAACCTGAACCTATATATATATATATATATATATATATATATATATATATATATATATATATATATATATATATATATATATATATATATATATATATATATAGGTAAAGGTTCAAATGAGAACCACTAAAGGTTAAGAACCTAAGAACTACTCATATTACATATATTAGATCTGATACCATTTCTTCATTATTCTCCCGAGACAAAATAAATATCCCGGCCTCTCACCTCCTTCAACCATCTCCGATGAACACCACCACATCCACCATTGTCGACGGCCGCCTCACCAATGTTACCGTCAACGACGACACCTCCACGTCGCAGCCTCCGACCATCGGCGATAACACTTAAATACGTCATCGAAGTTTCAGATCTGGAACCCTCCTCTTTGTCGTTGTTGTGGTGAACCGCCACAGTCGTCATCGTGTCCTCCTTTAATGACATATCTGCTCCGACGAGCCACCACTTTTTCTTCAGGTCTGCTCTAGACAGCCGCCAAAACCACCAGATTTTCACTAAAATACAGTAGATCTCGAATGTATCAGATCTGGATCACGTCCTCATCTCGCCAATGAAATTAGATCTAAGATTTCCGCAAGATTTCTTCCCCTTCTTCTCCTTCGGTGACTTCTTTCATCATTGCCAGATCTTTTCCGACTACTGTTTACGCGTCCCGGTGAGTTCAACATGACTATGTGTGCTTTTTGGTCACGAGTTCTGACAGAGATATGTTCCGACAATCATTTCATGTGTTTTCAAGCGTTATCGTTAAAAACAAAAGGTTAGATTTACAAGAAGTGATTTTCCGGTAATGTTATATTAAGCTGTGAATTTTGTGTATTAAACTGTGAATTTGTTATATTAAGCTGTGAATTTTGGGTATTAAACAGTGAATTAACTGTATTATACTTGTAAATAAGCTATGGATATATTGCATTAAATTGCAATTTTTTATATTTTAAGCTATATTAAATTCACAAATTAATACATAGATATGTTTCCATATATGAACGTATAAATGTAAACTTTAATTTGATAATATGGATATGAATATATAGTTTTTGTGTATTAATCTGTGAATTTTATGTATTAAACTTATGATTGATTGTATTAAGAGTTTTAAGTTGATAATATGACTGTGAATTTTATACTTTTTGTTTATTAAGTTGTGAATTTATTGTAATAATTTGTAAATTTTATGTATTAAGCTATAATTTTTGTGTTTTCAACTGTGAATTAACTACATTAAGTTGTGAATTTTTTGTTTAAACTGTGAATTGACTATATTAAGCTTCTAATTTTGTGTATTAAACTGTGATTTTTGTGTATAAGACTTTAAATTGATTGCATTAACCTATGAATTTTCTGTTTAAACTGTAAATTAATTATATTAAGTTATGAATTGTACGTATTAAACGGTAATTGATTATATTAACCTGTGAACTGATATCTGAAAGTAAAAAATGTAAGTTTTAAGTTAAGAATATGACATTTTAGTGTATCAAATTGTTAATTTAATATATTAAGTTGTGAATTTTATATATTAAACGGTAATTAGTTATATTAACTTGTGAACTAATTGCAACTTTAAGTGATTTTTTTTTATAATTTTTGTGTTAAAATATAAATGATTTATGAATGAACTTCTGTATTAATGTTAGAATATGTTTATTTTTCGTGTTGTATAAGTACCTAAGAATGCATTAGTTTTTTAATTGTTTTGTATTAAATTCAATATGAGTGAATTAATAGGTTTATTAAATTATGAATGTAGTATTTACCCTCTCATTGCATGACTATATATGCAAATATGATTTTCAAGAAAAGATAGTTGCAATGTTGGCATGAGTGGTCGGTGGCAGCGTGTGCTAATGGTGGTGATGGTAGAGTTTGGGTTTGACTTCATTAAATTTGTGAATTAGTGTAAAATAGATAGTATTAAGTTGTGAGTTTTGTCTATTATACTGTAAATGGACTGTATAAATTTGCATTTTACATAAATTTTGGGTTAAAAATATAAAATGATGGTATGAATGAAAATATTATACTAAAAAATATGATTTTGCCATTTTCTTAACAAACAGACAAAAATTAAGATTTTAACATATTTAGTAACATTCACAATACATATTAGTTATTAAATGTCGGTTCATAGAGTTCTTAATCTTTTGTGGTTCTCATTTGCATAGAGTTCTTATATATATATATATATATATATATATATATATATATATATATATATATATATATATATATATATATATATATTCAGGTTCATTTGAGACCATTCTAATTTTGTGAGACCGTGAGACCAAATCTAAAAATAATTTTAAAATGCAAAATAAATGGAAAAATCCAAAAATTCTTTTTTTAAATATTATTTTCGGAACTTGAATTAACTAAAAAAAATAAAAAAAAATCCGTTTTTTTTTTTGAAAAATACGTGAATTATTCTAAATAGAATATTACACTGACATATTCTAAAAAATAATTTTAAAATGCAAAATAAATGGAAAAATCTAAAAAATCTTTTTTTAAATATTATTTTCGGAACTTCAATTAACTAAAAAAAATAAAAAAATAAATAAAAAAAATTCTATTTTTTTTTGAAAAATACGTGAAATATTCTAAATAGAATATTACACTGTACATATTCTAAAAATAATTTTAAAATGCAAAATAAATGGAAAAATCAAAAAATTCTTTTTTAAATATTATTTTCGGAACATGAATTAACTAAAAAAAATAAAAAAATAAAAATAAAATAAAAAAATTAAAAAAATGCGTCTCACGGTCTCATCAAATATAGGTGGTCTCAAATGAACCTAACCCTATATATATATATATATATATATATATATATATATATATATATATATATATATATATATATATATATATAAGTTCAGGTTCATTTGAGATCATTCTAATTTTGTGAGACCAAATCTAAAAATAATTTTAAAATGCAAAATAAATGGAAAAATCCAAAAATTCTTTTTTTTAAATATTATTTTCGGAACTTGAATTAACTAAAAAAATAAAAATAATAAAAATAAAATCCCGTTTTTTTTAAATACGTGAAATATTCTAAATAGAATATTACACTGACATATTCTAAAAAATAATTTTAAAATGCAAAATAAATGGAAAAATCTAAAAAAAAAATTAATATTATTTTCGGAACTTGAATTAACAAAAAAAAAATCTTATTTTTTTTTGAAATGTATGTGAAATATTCTAAATAGAATATTACACTGTACATATTCTAAAAATAATTTTAAAATGCAAAATAAATGGAAAAATCAAAAAATCTTTTTTTAAATATTATTTTCGGAAGTTGAATTAACTAAAAAAAATAAATAAATAAATAAATAAATGCGTCTTACGGTCTCACAAAATTAAGCCGTCTCACATGAAGCTAACCCTATATATATATATATATATATATATATATATATATATAAGAGAGAGAGAGAGAGAGAGAGAGAGAGAGAGAGACTGGCGTTAATTACGCATAACATTCACATATGTTGTAACGAAATAATATTTTTGTTTAAAGATCAAATGAACGTTCATATCAATATTGATAAACCACATGAATTTTGTTGACCATGAATGTAACCGGAGTAACCTTTATTTTAGTGAATATAATATTATTCCTACATCCGACATCTATAGAACAATCATAGAAACGTGAAAAACTATCTCAAAAACCCGTTATATATTGTTGAGTGAAATCAAATTCGAAGGAATCAAGAAAAACTCCTCGACGGAGTGAACCAGAACCGTTTTGAGTTTTGACATCCAATCATCGAAATAGAAAGTTTTTCAGTTGAGTTTATAAATGTAAATTGTTTTAGAATTTTTTTGATTACATTTACACATTTACGTGCTGGAAGGAACGCATTTACAGGAGAAATTTAACGTACTATTATTGGTATTTTGACAGCACATTTGAATGTATATTGTTTCATCATATAGGAGTAATTGGATATGACTTCATCCTAAATGGGTTGTGTTGTGGGCTCAATATCTCTAATACGCCCCCACAAGGCAAGATGGAGGATCCATCGGAAACTCCAATCTTGGATCTAACAGCACCCAGGAAAGTGACGTTGTTAACATGTCGGCAAGTTGATCTTGCAAACTGATGTGAAGTACTCTAATAAGACCATAAGAGATTTGCTGCCTCCCGCACAAAGTAATAGTCAAGTGTTATGTACTTCATGAGGATTCGCACATAAGTAAGTAGCATCTTTGTTGTCGGTGTTCACTAGATAATGATGTCAAGTTCTTTTAATAATTTCTTTAGCCAAATGAGTTCAGTTGAGGCATTTTCTAATGCCTTGTGCTCAGCTTCAGTGGAGGAATGAGAAACCGACTTTTGTTTTATAGACCTCCATGAAATGATGTTTGTGCTAAGGTACATGAGGTATGTTTTAGTAGACCGGTCTAGGCTATGGATACCATCCCAATCAGAATTTGAGAAGGTCGAGAGTCTTCTAGAGGAATTATAGTTTAGAATAAATCCATGAGAGTGTTTGAGGGAAATTACGGTTTAGAAAAAAAATCTATGATGAATAGTGTGACATCCCCAATTTTACGACCAATTAAAAACTTTTTCATTTATGCTTTTTAAGACGACGTATTCATTTATTGTGTGGAATTTGTCCCAAAACATTATTTTGATGTGAGATAATATCATTACCAAAGCGTTTTCAGAGAAACATTTTCATTAATATTTAAAAACATGGCATGTAATAACTTATATAGAAATATAAGCATAACTAGTCTTTACAAGCCTTACATCAATTTATTTAATGGTCTAAAAATCCTTAAATCCCTCGGCAAATTCAAACATCAATATTCATGTATATTCATATCGATACCTCTAATACAAAGAAACTAAGTGGTCAGGTTTGGGAAACTGATTAACATATAGGGTTTTCAACCCACAATATTTAATTGAAATCTCTCAAATATATCTTTTTTACAATTAGTAGTACTCACTATATGAAAATACCAATTTACTAAACTTATTATCTCAATCCACAATGCACTAAATGCAACAAGTTTATTTGTTGTTTTTTTGTCTATTCATTTTAAGGTGAGTTATAACTGCAATAGGAGTAGATTCTTTATCATTAAAAACAAATATTAGAGGTACAAAGAAGTTGACAAGATACAACATATGGAAAAGTTAAAGGAAATAAAGCTACAAAATGAAATTATCGAACAGTAGTTTACAAGTTAAATTATCGTTTTAGGCCACTCTGAATCGAAATAATCATAAGGTGGTTCATGATATGTACTATTAATGATGAAACTCAATTGGTTATTAATCAATATATTGGGCCAAAACAGACACAATATACAAATTATTTGACCAAAGCAAAAGGATACTAAAAAGGGATCTTATCACTGGTAGCAAGAATCATTTTAGTTGAACACAACTATGACTGTAAAACCAGTAGACTAAAACTCGGGTGAGGATTAAAGGTAGGCAAATTTGGTTTAACATTGATTATACAGATGAAAGGCTACTAGAATAAGGGTGTTATTTATCAATCGGTTGATGTCTTTAAGGACCTCCAAACAAAAAATTATGATCAAGAACATCAAAATTTACACAAGAAATGGTACAATAAACTAAAAAGTTCATTTTGTTGGAAAAATATGTAAATCTAAAAAACAATTGTCTTGTTAAGTTTACATGATACTATCCAAATAGCAACAAGAGATGAACAATGAATGATAAATGAATTCTATGGAAAAAAATTTATTAATTAAATTTTGACACACATACTAAAGGGTTACGATCAAATTTTTTGAAGTCAAGTACGATCAACAATTGCAAAGTGATTTTATTCGATAGTTAGAGTATGAGGATAAATAATAATGTGAAAGTTAAAACATATGTGATCAATAATTATCTAATACACCATTAGGTTGTTTAAAATTAATCCATTAAAATAAAAGTTAGTTATCATGGTACGAGTAAGATGGAAAACGAACAAGAAGTTCTGTTGTTAAACCTTTTTGTATGGTAAAGTCAATTCTTTTGAATATTACATCTGTAGATATATGGATATAACATTGATATGCATAATCCGTTATACTCTCTTAAGAAGCTCTACTGCATCCGGCATTAGGAAACCAAACGAATCAAATGCAAATGGTATAAATATGTGTTGATTTTCCATGCACGATTTCTCATTTTTTATGACATTATCCGTAGTAGCTTTTAAAATTCCAATTTTTCAAAACTAACCAACTTGACTTGTTTTTAGAGCACAAAAGAAGAAGAAAAAAAAAAAAAGACGTAGCAGGAAAAACAAAACACACGATACAAATTTTTGATTTATTGATGCATAAATCTACTTCATCGATACATAAAATTGAATACCAATCAAACCCACAAGTACATAAATTTTGATTAACAAAACTAAAAGGAAAATAGATGTTACCCTTCACAGCTTATTTCTTAAGAGTAGCTTCAACAAGCACATTATTAAAAAAAAAAAAAAAAAAAAAAAAAAAAAAACACACACACACTTAGGATATAAGTAAAGATAATCGGCGTCTTCCTATATAGAGAAGAAAACAAATGCATTGTTGTTGATGAACTGGGGTTGATTTGGTGTGATACGGATTAAAATGATAGAAGTTTTTTGACAAATTGGAGATTACATCCGTTGATTTTAAGTGATATACAAAATTATTTCTTCCTATCTTGATGAAGATTGAGGGCAAAATTGGAAGATATTTTGATACGAGGGAATGGAATTAAAAAAA